CCCCCCCCCCCGCCCCCCCAACCTCTACTCCGCATATGAATAACAACCCTAAGTCCGAACACTAGCCTCAATACCATCAAGTTTATGCATGCTAACAATAATTACCGACGATGAACACTTTGAGATAATTTGGGTTTGCGCGTGACCCGACCTCCCTTTATGCCCTGGATGGAGAGCCAATTCCCATCGGCGATGTTATTGCTTACCTCTCACTCACTCTACTCGGCTCTATACTCCCCAAAACTCCCCTCCCTCCCCTGTGTCCCCCTTGCTCCATGCCAGTTTTCCACGTGGAGAGTGATCACGGGCTCAAACAGCATCGGAAAAACACAGGCCTGTCAGATGATTTCCGGGAAACCAAACACAAGGTCCACATGCCATGCATCCATACCGCCTACACTACACCTCATGTACACCACCACACATTAAACACCACAATTCAGCTCTCATTTCCCCGCGCACTTTTTATTCCGAAAGGGACACGACGTTGTTCCGCTTTTCATTGAATCTCCCAGAACCCTCGTATCCCTGCTTTCTCCATTTTCCAGTCGTATCTTTCAACGCACACCTGGAACGCAGATGCTAATTGAAATTCCATGTAAGGTTACTGTGACCCTTCGATGATCAGTCCCCCGTCCCTCGTTCACCAGAACCACAGACTTCAGGTCTGCAGATCGATCCTCCCTGATACCGTTGCAATTCCGCACTCGTGTTCGTTCGACCAAATATAACCACACTCCGCTAACACAGTCACCCCTTTTAGGAAGAAGCTGCCTGCCTGCCCGCTCCTCGCGTCACACTTGTGTCACGGAGAAAGAGACGCTACGATCGGCGGCCAATCTACCTGTTCCCCTCCCGCTGCCGTCACATAACACCTGTTGCCACGTGGATGATAGACACTCCCGCGTCTACATCCTCTTCCTCTCACACCCACGCTATACGGCATTCATTATCCGTCTCCAGCCGGGGCTCATCTCTTCCCATAATTCGTCTTCACAGAGAGGGGGGAGAGAGAGAGAGAGACATTCCCAACTACGCCTCAAGAACAGTCTTGATGCCATGTCTCAACGCAAAGCCAGTCCTGGAAGAATCCTAGTCCAACCCTCTTGTCACACGCGCCTTCTGTTCGCACGCGCTTCCTTTTCAGATCCCGGTGCCCCAACGATCTCCACCAATGCCCGGTATACGATTTGCCAGGGAAGCCCAGAAAAAGAAAGTGGACATAATAAAAAGGGGGTACGAACTGCACTCCATGGCACGCCCTCCCGCCAATCTTCAAAAGAATTTTAATATCAGCCTCTCTCACGGATGACCATCCCTCTTCTTCAACTCCAGCTGCGGCGGACAGCTGGGTGCCTTCCCACTCGCGGCACCGGTGCTCATCCCTACCCCAACTCCAGCTGTCGCAGACAGGTTAGTGCATTTCCACTCGCAGCACTGATTTCCCCGAGTTCACCACGGGAAGCCACCGTATCCAGTTTTGTGTTATCACTGGGAACACTGTGCCGTCATCCAGAATGAAGATTCCCCGCCAAACCTCCTAGGCGAATGCAGCGGGTTTCTGAAGCGACATGTCATACTCTCACCCAGTCCGCAACACACTGCGCCAGTCCACTTGGGCCAAGAACGGAAAGCATCGCTCAGACAGCCTGGACGCAAGTACACTACACTCCAAAGCACACCACGAAGGGAAGATTCGTACCGACGAGAGTGTCCGATTGCCACTGGAAAAGTGCGCAGAATTTAACGCCGCACTTCTACGGGGGAAATTGCCCAGCGTAGCTCCCCTGAGAATTCGATTCCAGAGTGGTCGAGACCGCCAAATTTGCTGACGCGAGTTCACGGGCCGTTCAAGGGTAGAGTGAGGAAAAAACACTCGTTAAGATTCCATTACATCACACACGTTCAATTCCAAATGCAAGGGACACAAGCCCAAGGGAGAATTCAAAACGAGAGATGGAGAGTTCACACATTCAGTCCCAAGGACGAGTAACCTCGGTTCGTTAAAAAGCACCCAGCAACACAACCAACCTACCTCGTCAATCTTGCCGAACGTAGTGTCCCAGGCTCGCAGGAAGACTTCACAAACTGGAGCCCTACGCAGGCCTGACCTGCCCCCGCCAAGCAGGTCCATCCACGTATCAAATGCCCAAGCCCCCGAGACGACTGATCGTTCATTTCACAGAGCTTTCCTCTCCAATACCCGGAGAGTACAACCAGTTGTCCAATTCGTCGACCGCCTTCCTTTCCAATACCCGGAGAGCGCAATGCAGACGTGCAATCCCACGAAGAGTGACAAACGATGGCACAAGCAGGCAGGTCACCCACGTTCGACTGTCATCCCACGGACCGGGCCCTCACCGGTATAGCTTACACCAAAATTCGAATTAGTGTTGATTTACGACCCCTTATTTTTCCCCTTCAACTTCTCCAGCATGCACATACTTCCCAACGGCTATCAGAGACAGGCATCAACAACGCCCTTGAACCACCCCCACCCCGATACGGACGGCCTAGCTGCCCTGCTCAACAGCCACATAGCGGCCCTGGCCGCCCAAGGACTCCAATCAGAAGCACCTTCCGACACCACCTCCCCACCCTCAATCTTACCACACGAACAGAGAATAACGAGCTCAAGCAGCTCCTCCATGATCATATCGAATTTCACAAGTTCGCCTCTCGTGCGAAATGCATAGCCCCTCAATTACATCCACTAGCACTAACATACCGCATGAGGAGTTCACGCACATAGATGGGCAAAAAGTAACACGCTCTTCTATCCTCTTTTCTGACGTCTGCCAATCTCCATCGCTGACCCAACTGAGCTCAATATCTTGTGTCTCTCCTTCCACGCGCTCTGCAGCCTTCCGTCAGCAGCTAACTACTGTTGGCACTACCTAGACGACGAATAAGTCTGTTCGTCCCTCCCATCATCTGTAAGGGCCTACGACAACTTCTCTCAGTCATCACGACCTCCACGACTTGCACCGCTTCCCCATAAGTCTGTCCTTCAAGCCCAACATACCCTCCACGAGTGGAGAAGACGCATTCTACCCTCCAGGAGCGAAAACAAACAATGCATTCTACCCTCCAGGAGTGGAAATACTGCGTTCGAAATCGATTTGTCCAATCTGCTGGGCAAACAGGAGTGACTACGACTTCTCCAGCAACTAGCATAGCGGTAGCACCGGAAATTGGCAATCTCTCGTTCTAACAGGACGCTAGCAGCTAGCAATAGCAATTGACGAGGAATCAACCGATGGCAACCAAGTGCAGCACTAAATAACAGCAGCCCTGGCATCCCCTACTCCTTGAAAAGGAAACAACAAGAGTTTCCCGCCAGACTTACTTAAAGCAGCTTGATGTATTCGTCCCCGCTCTCAACAGCATACCGCGTTTCCGACAACATCAGCATCATTTCCCCACAGCGTCGTTAGCTCCAACACGATCATGCATCGACAGGTTTTTGAGGAGACGCTCGCCACCACAGGTAATCCGAGTCAACGAATGGGGCACAGCGACACTGTTGGGAGAACAAAAGAAAAAGAAAAAGACAATCCACATTGTCAATACGACTTCGCAAGCCCTGGCACGCACGCACCGAGCAGTTCAGACGGTTCAGAACTGGCCCTTTCTCCCGTCCGCGCTGTCCCTCCCTCAAAAGTTAATCACAACGGACTGACTGTAAACCTCTCTCGAGTAGACCCCCGAATTCTGGATGACGAGTTAGACTGGCCTCCGCACAACTTCATCAACCTAAGCCCGCAATGCCATCGGCTTATTGACCGACAAGACGCCATTATTCCTCAAACATCCGCCGCGCCAACAGTCCGCAGCAACTACCCTTCTTCCGCTGGAATCTCCGACTCTGCCACCAAAGACCAAGAACCGACATTCCTACCTGGAGCACCTCACCAGAGCTACAGCCACAGCCTCTTTTTTTATTAGACAACCGCACACGACACCAGAACCCGACCAAGGGATCACCCTGTCAAACATCAAACCAGGTCATCCCCCATGTCCTCGAGCAGAATCAAGACCACCACCACTTCCTCAGGACACTGTTTGACCACAGGGGGACTGCTTCAAGAGAGACCGACCGCAAGGAAGGCGGGGCAATAGAATCTTCTTCGAAAACGACGTTTGTCTGAGCTAATAATACGGCCGACTGCTTCTCGTTGTGCGCACTCAGAACGGCCGGCTCAAACTCCCAAAGGAGGACGTGGCGGGCACCGAATGGCGTTGCCGAAGCCATCTCCATCGGATACAACCTACAAGCACCTAATAAATTTCACACCCATACACTCTCCCGGTCAGGTCCTCACGGACGACGATTTGAAGGGCCCGAAGCGAACACAACACTTCCGAAGGAAAAGAAGCAAGCTTCCATTCCCGCGCCCATTCACAAAGAGAGATGCGGCGCGCAATGGAAACACGAATTCACGAGACCTCTGCACAGTCGTGCCCTTCCGGCGCGAAAGCCACATCGGACTCGCTGAAGCCTGGGCAAATAACGGATTGCACTCGTCACGACTGAAGTTCTCCTCCGTAAAGACGAGGCGTTCCACTTCATAATGCAGTGAAGTACACTACTCAAATACGACCATCCAGCATATCACGAACGATTTGAGAGGGACAAGGCAGATTAGAAGGAACAGACGGGCAACAGCAAGAATAGCAAGCTAGCCATGCTTGCGGACTGCAAGAAGACATCGCGAAAAGATCATTGGATACTCGAGACACCCCTCTCGAGCGGCCAGTACTATATGCTTGCGGAGTGCCAGACACTCACAAGACGTCCGAGTAAGACGGTGAGACACGCCAATCACACACACGAAAGTCGGCGATCAAATCCGATTCCCTGCTGCTGCTGCTGCTGCGAGTTCGGAACCAATCCACCTCATTGCGTTCCCGCCGGCACGGACGAAAACGTTCAACATTCGCGCTTGAAGAGTGGGCGTCTTCGCAAGAACCAGCAAAAAGCCGGTAATTGAGAGAAACCTCACTCACAGAAACTATCGTGATCCTCACCAACTGGTAATGCCCCACAAGATGCTGTCCACAAGAAAAAACTTCCAGAACACGCAAGGACAGACTCAAGAAGGGCAGCTCCTGTCTATCCCCGACCCGATGTTGTCACCGCGCAACTCTCTCTCTTCCCCTCTCTCTCTCTATGAATGTGCGTACGCGTGCTTCAGAGTCAGGCGTCGAGGACATGCGTCACACGTAATCCGCAAGGCCTCAACCACGCCGCACCAAGAAACCACGGCGTGCAATATGATCAACCAAAAAACAGGGGAGCACTGAGAGGAGACAGAGAACATGCAGGCAACTGGAATTCTCTTCAAAAAGTGAAAATAGAACTCCAACAGCAGACACACGCACGGCATTACGACAAGTGATTCCAGCAGCAGACACATATCGGGACTTGACTGCTTTCACCTGGCAGAAGCCACGCGGCAGCTCAAAAGATTGTTTCACTTATCGAATGATGGCTCGTACCGGAGCGCGCAATGCGCATCGAGTTGACACTGAATTCCCCATGCCATGACACAAATTCGACCGTACACAAGTTCAAAGGTCACGTGTACTGCACCAATCAATCCAAGTTATATATTGTATGTGGCCGGTGAAAACAGGCAAAATAGCACAGCATCTATATATACTCATATATGCGAAGCAGACAACAAAGAGGAGAGAGGAGTGAGGAGTGAGCACGACAGTGACATGCCAAGCACGTGTCTGACACAGAGGCACCTCGCAAGCACAGCTGCATGTATTAGCAGAAGAGGCGAGAAGAGGCTGGCAGCCTCTGTCACAAACGGGCGAGACCTACTCGGACACGAGTTTAACATTGCTATGTCAGACAAGCTTGTCACGTGTCAAACGAGCGAGTAACATCGTCTAGCTCCCAGTGCTTGACATTCCTCCCGCTGAAATGCCTTGCGAATTCGCCTGTTAAAACGAACGAGCCAAACCGGCGAGCCACCAGGCGAGTGGGTGGAATGGAAACAAACGTGAATGAATTCTCCAGCACACAGACAAGGAAGCGGTTGAAAGCTAGCTAGCAAGCAGCGAGGAATATAAGCTGCTGTCTGCGAGGTCACCGCCAGCGAACGTAGGGCAAATATTCGATTGAAAAAGACCGCGAATAAGAGAAAATGAACCGACATTGGCAAGGGAATAGATGGACTGAAATGGAATGTCGACAGCAGGTAAAGAATAATAACGTATCGATCAGACAGTTATTTGATAAGACGTAAAAAGAAACTGAATTGAGGAGAACAAATTTCAGATACGTTAACGAATTTATCAAGCGAAGCGACTCATTTATCGGCATGGTGGGGGAAGACGGAGAAGAGGGGGCCGGTCTCCGGTGTGTCCATTACTACACCTACATACTGCTTGATACCCCTTCACCTAATACCCCACTCGGCGTACAAATAACAACTACGTAGAAAATAAACGAAAACAGCAGACTGGAGATAAAAGCTCAGCTCAGCACAGCAAAGAAAAGAAAAGAAAAGACTGCTGGGCGGAAGAGATCAACGAGTGGCAGGCACATAAGGAATTCGGCGGCGACGGGAATGGACCAGCGGGACAGACGTGGGAAAGTTACTACAAGCAACTCTCCAATTTCATTGTTCCTTTTCGGTAAACAAGAGTTTATAGACTCGTACGCCACAAACGACCCAGCGACATTACCTAAGATAGCAGCACCGAGCAACCACACTCTCGCCCTCTTCCTCAATCGAGGCAGGCTTTCTTCTCCGCTCCCCACACAATGTCAGTACCCTCCACATTCACTCTTATCATCAGCGTGCGTCCCCCATCTTGCTTGCGAAACTGCTTCCAGGTCGTAACGAAATGAGAGGACGCGATCAGAAAAACGTGTTCGAAAACACCTTCAGCAGGGCACCCCCGTTCTTGTCCTCTATTCAATCCGGCAACCTTAAAAGAATAGAGTAAATCTTGAGTGATACGTAATTGAAAGAACACACGCCCGGACAACGACAGGGAGAGCCCGACCGGTTGTAGCAGTAGCGACCATAAGAAATAAAGAGCTAGCAGGCGAGCGAGCCGACGTATGGCGAACCCTCGAGCGCACGAGTTGGCACACGAGTAAGGGACATGAACATGGGGAAAGCAAGTACCATTTAGCTGCCGCTTGCCGCTGACCTAAAACAAAAGATATCAGCGCAGAGACAAGGGTAAATCTGCAAGAGAGAGGACCAACCTTCGAGGAAACTCGTAGAGTCACACGAGACCACACCTTATACAGTGTTCCAATTTTCCGAGTCGTCAAGATAGCAGAACACTATTCTCCTCGTGCCCACTTCTCTGGAGTCTGGCGACGATTCGAACAGCCACTCCTGCTTCATGCCGTCCCGAAGCCATCTCTCTCTCTCTCTCTCTCTCTCTCTCTCTCTCTCTCTCTCTCTCTCTCTCTCTCTCTCTCTCTCTTACGCACACACGCACACACACTCCACCGTCTCTTCCCTCCCACACACGCACACCCTCTCCCGCAATTCTTTCCCGCCCCCTCCCCACAAGCTTGAAATTACAACTGATCACAGCATCACCTTCCCTTGCCTCCGGCTGCTGCAGCTCTACTTCGTCGATGTCGCATATTAACAAAATTTCTACGAGGAAGCGGAAATTTCTGCTGCTGCTTGCGGTTGAGGCATTTCGACCGCGGTTCCGACGGACACCTCCTCTCTCAAACCGCCGCCATTCTCACTCTGGCCGGAAACCGGGTCATTCGCTTGATTGCGATAATCTGAGGAATCGTCCGAAGGGGTATTACTATCGCCCCCATTGGACAGAGTTCCCCCAACGCCATCAGAGCTTGACATGGACGCATTCGCAGACTTTGATTTCGTAAGCACCACCCCTCGCCTACCAGCCCCCTTCTTTGCATCGCTCCCGCCATATCTATCATTCCCAGTACGTGTGCCTTCCGTTCTCGTTTTAATCCTGGTAAGCTTCGGCGACGCCGTTCGAGCGCCCCCCCCTCCTCCTCCATGCAAAATCTTCCCTTCCATCGAGGACCTCCTGTCTACCGCTGATCCCCCCCCTTCCTTGGTATTCTCCTTCTCTTCCAACTGCATTTGAAACTCCCTCCTTTTTTCCGCTCTTACCGTCGACGCAAACTGAAACGTCTTCGCGTGTGTCGGAGGAACGGCCGACCTGTGGGGCACGAACGGTGTGGCAGCCGCCACCGGCTGCGCGCGAAACGTTCTTTGCCTCTCCTCTTCAGATTTCTTCGCATGGACTTCTGCCTTCAATTTCTCCATCGCTGCTTCGTGCCGCCTGACACTCTCCAACTTGAACGGACACGGCGCTGTCGCGGGTTTCGGACTCGGCTTCGGCGGCACTTTCGGGGCTTTCAGCGACGACGGCAAATGCCCTGCCGACGGCTGGTTCGGCTTTTTCTCCATCTCCGCGGGAGGGGAGCTCACCGGTCGCCCGCCCGTCGACGCTCTCCGGTCGGTTGCGAAGTGAAAAGGCACCGGCACGGTGTGCAAACCCGGCCCCCGTAAGCCGCCAACCACGGCATGGCTACTTTGCTGCTGAGGATGATGAGCGCGAGGAATCGACGAGCCGGAATTGGCAGACGGCAACTCTCCGCTACCCTGCTGGCCACCTGGAGAGCCCGAACCCCCTTCATCTCCTCGCTCCGCCCTCTTCATTTTCCCAAGAGCCGCGGAATCTGCGCTCGAAGCCAGCTTCCCCGATCTCTTCGACATCGCGTGCAGCGACGAAGCAGACGCAGAAGCCCCCGGGGCTCGATCTGAGCCCAACGCTTTCGGACTGCGTTCCCCCTGCCCGCTGCTCCCGTTCGCATGAATTGGGAAATCGCCGAAGCTCCTCCTCCCCTTCACACGCACCGTCCCATTCGCCTGCAGGACTTGCTTCGAGTTATTGTCGCGACCGATCCCCGCGCCAGATTTCGTCCCACCGTATTTCCCGAGCCGACTTCCGCTAGCGGATGCGCCTTCGCGATCGCGAATCGGAGGAGATCTTCTGTCTTTCGATCCTCCAAGGCTTGCCGCTGCGGCGTCGGTTCCCGCCGAGTTCGGGTCTCGCCGACCAGCAGCAGCCGCGGAGCTCACATTCTTCGAGCTCGAAACGTTTTTAAGCCCGGCAGACGATTTTCCAGACGTCGCCGAAGAGAAGCCGGGGGAGCGAGATGGTTGCCGTCGACCTGAAGGTGGCGACGGGCTTTTCTTTCGGGTGCCGCTGTCAGAGACTGGCTGCGGCTCCGTCGCCGCCGCTGATGATCCGCTGTCACTCGCCAGTGCCACCTTGTCGCTCTCCTCCGCCACTCTCGTTGCGCTATTGCTGATGTGGGCGTGCTGTTGCTGATCGTCTGCACTGTTCTCGTCGGCAATAGAGAATCCAGAAGCAGCTCCCTGAAGCATCACAGAGTCGAGCTTACTCTCATACATGGCCATGGAGTTGTTACCACTTGGTGCCATCTGCGATTCACCACCTGCAACAACAGCGTCGCCACCAGCTTAAACTCCTAGCTCAGCTTCCATACCTCCCTCCTCTTCTTCGCCTCGTTCGCCTCCTTCCTCTCTGAGGTACTTCCTCGCAGGTGTCGTAGAGTGGTAACAATGCCGCCGGCACCTTGGCGACCCGCCTTCACGATTCAACCAAAGCGAAGCAAAGACAAGGACGCTGATCCTGCTGCTGCCGACGCAGCTACCCTCGCTCTCGGCAAGGCAGCACAGGTCACCAGAATTTCCGTGTACACTCTTGCGTACGGACACGCGCCTTCCGCTTGGAGAGGCAAACCCTCCGACCAGCAAAAGAGGGAAGATCTCTTCGAGCTTGTTCTTCTCGACAGGAAACGTGCCAGGTTACCCTACATAGGGCGCAGCAGTCACCTTCTCAAATACAGGTCATGCCTCCCTTTTGCTCCTCGCTTTCTCTCCCTTACCACCTCTTACCTTCTTCGTCCACTCTTCCTACAGTAGCGCTACCGCCTATTCTCGGCAATTCCCTGCACACCTTGCCCTCCTTCCTCGGTTCAGAGACCGCGCCCCTCCTTTCTTCACCAAACAGTCGACCAACCAACCCAATGCAAAATCTCCTCTTCCTCCTCGGGTGCCAGTTCAGTCGATAATTAGACCTGCGAGTAACTTGAGTAGCAGCAAGACAAGCAAGACAAACGAGGAGCGAAGAATGAAACGGACAATGACGAAAGAGGCAGAGGCACGACACATAGAGAAAGAGAGAGAGAGAGTGCGAATGCGCGACGTCGATGGCCGTCTACCCGCGGAGGAAGAGGTGGCGTGGGAGGAGAAGTAGCGGCAAGAAAGGGAGAACGGGGGAACGCCGTGAGGGTGTCCCACCGCAGGCAGCGGATTCTTCGCGCGGCTGCGAAGGCGTAGCCAGGCCAAGCCAGGCAGTGACACGGCAGGTAACTGGACTGACAACCAGCGAACCTGCTGCGCCTGGCCCCACCCGCGTTTCTCACGCCAACCTGTTTCTTTTGTCCAGGTAGTAATTGCACCTTCGCGAACCACACCTCAAGACGCCTCAGAGCACACTCACAACACGATATGCGTGGAGCACCTGGTCACTTTAACGATAATATTCAGTCTCGGTGTTTATGAGTGCGCCCTCAGCTACTTTGTCTGCTGTCTCGTCGAGACACAAAAATCTGAGACGCACGCACTGTTCCGCCCGCCCTCAGCTATTTCCTTTTCCCGCCTTGGCGCTCTGTGGGGTAGGGACGTCTGCCTGAAGTTGCTGCTTGCAGCAACCAGCAGTGTGATGTAGTGGCCCTCGTGTGCAGACGGTAAGGTAGCCGCTTCAAACGCCCATCGACAACAGAACAAGAAAGACAAACACTCCTACCTGTTGTGGACGCACCTTCTGGTTGACCTATTTACCCATCCCTCTAAAGAACCCCTTCTCTATATATAAATGAAATGCGCTCTCCTGGACCTGGACTGGACATGACAGGGGCTAGGCTACCCATCTTTCCCGTGCACACAAGACGTCTTTCAGGTTCGATACCATCATGAGGGTGCCTTCTGTCTGGGGGAAGACGGTAGGAGTTACATACACGACCTCCCGCCGGCGGGCTGGTCCTGCCCCTCCTCGGTGTCAAGGTCGCTCGCGCGCAAAAACCGTACAGCTTTCCGCCGGAGACGCCGTTTCCCGCCTGTACAGTAACGTCGGTCTTTTTCACTTTTGAAAATTTGCCTAGCGTCTGATTGATTCAGAACTCATGACATTTTTTTTTTTTTTAGAGAATACTCACACTAGGCCCTGAAAATCACAAAATCGTAAAATGAGCGGCCAGATGCAGTAGTTCCTTTGCAAGGTCTCAATCTGGCCGCTCATCCTGTGATTTTCCGATTAGGGCCTAGTGTTGTGAGTATGGCCTTACTAAACTAAAACAAACAGTTACATGTGTGTACGATTCAATCAGACGGGCTCGTTGCAGCGGCGGTCTTTTCAAAGAACCAAGAAGGATCCCGCGTTTTATGAAACGTGGAGAAGACCCCGCGTTCCAGAGGTGGCGTGACACGACCGCGGGATTCGATCCGCTTCCTTGCCCCCTAAACGGACTCGTTCCATACCCTTTCCTTGACCCTTTTCTTTTCTGCCTCTCCTTCGTTTCTCTTACCGTTCACCGCTACGTTTTTTTTGTTTCCCACATCAACAACCAAACAAATCGAGGGCTGTGTCCCACTGGAACGACGATAGACCATGACAGTTTTTGAGAGCGCGTGGTGGGTCCCTGCTGTCCGCTGATCTGAAAATCTCACTGTCGTACCGTATGGCCACGTTGAAAAACACTCAATCAAATCAAAAACTAACGAAAATCTCACCGTCGTACTGTATGGCCACGTTGAAATACTCAAATAAAAAACTAACCTATCCTCGTGCTACAGCACTGGGGCATGGCACTGGGAAATGGCACCAGGGACCTCACAATTCATCACCCCTGAAAGCTGATATGCGACACTTCGGATGGAGAGCCAGAAGGATCTTGAGTAGTTGGTCCCTGCAGGGGACTTAAACCCCCGTCCCCTTCAGACATCGGTTTTCTTTTCTTCTCCCGGCCCCTCCCGGCCCCGTTTCAGCCAATTTCAGCCCTTTGCATTCAGCCAGTACTTGGCCCAGCTATGGATGCCGAGCCTGAAAACGGGCTGCACGCCGTTTCGCACCAACCCGCCAGCGCAACAAGAAAAACTTGTTTTAGCTGGCAATGCCAGCCTTTGAGGGCTGGTACCCCGAGAGGGGCGATACCCCGAGCCTCTGGAAGTTGCGGGGCGTTAACGGCAATGCCCTGCGGCCGATGTATGGGCCAAGTACTGGTGGTTTAAACCGCTAGTACACAGCCACAGCCTTGCTGAAAAGAAACTCACCACCTACCCCTTTTTTGTTTTTAGTGTTCTCCCTTTCTAGCCTTTTTTTTTTTTTTTTTCGGTTTCCCCCATTCTCGCCGTCTTACGCCATTACTACCCCGTCCCTACCCGTTCCCTAGCCACGCCCCGCGGGCCCCCCCCGCCGTTCCTCAACAGGAAACACAAACCACCGGCCCCCACAAATATTGAACAACCTCCACAATACTCCGCTGGTTGCCCAGCCTCCAAGCCCTCGCACAACCACCTCGACGACCGGTAGGTGTCGTGATAACGACCCCCCAGTCTCGTGTAACTCTCCATGCTCGTCGACATGCAAGACGCGAAAACCCTGCTAAACAACAAAACACAATCGGAGTAAGCGCAGCCTTCTGGCTGCAAACTGAGTGTGTAACTCAATTTTAATATTTGCAGCCTCATCATACTTGTTCACACATTCAGTGTGTTAATAAAAAAAAATATGTCGAACTCTATCTCAGCCAAACAGGCCTCAGTACCTTAGTTGGTCCACGCATGACACATGAACTATTCAAATATTAGACCTGCGTTCAAATTTGATCGCAAACAGAACCAACTTCAACCAAGTAATTCTGAATTAGCTGCAATCTGTCATGAGGTCGGTGATATAGAGGTAGGAAAACAAAAAATTGCAAAAAGAGTTCCAAATTGCAGCAACCAGCAAAAAATCACGAAAAAAAAATATAAAATTTTGACGAGTTGCCCGGGTGTAAATTTATGGGAGAACTACAATCGGATGAACAAATTACGAATTGTTGAAGATTTCGCAAAAAAAAGAAAGTCTAAGGAACATAAAGGAATAAATTTAAAAGAACGCAAACACTAAAAAAAATAAAAATCACTGAGAAATTGCAAATTTCGAGGAAATCAATTGTGCGCAAAAGGATTTATGACAATAAATTTCATTCAAAATATACAATGACAAGAAAAAAAAAAGACGTCGTATTTTCAAGAAAATGCAGATGGATGGTGAAGGCTAGAGTCGCCGTGGCGACATAATGACTTGTTTTTTAACCGTTTTGTGTTACCAAAGTAACCCTCCGGTGACGTGGTCACTTGATACTTGCGTGTCGTGCACGATGTTGAATAGGGTTATGGTCTCACTTGTACTACTAATTATCTTTATACGCCTCCATGTGAAACTCATATTATTCGCATGAGATATAAGTTATGGGTTACAAAGGATCCAGGCATGTAAAGTCATGTTTAACATTTACGTTCGTGAGAATGAGACGCGTGGTAGTTTCTATATCCTAGTCAACTAACGTACGGCCACGTTTGGGAGATCAACGTCCCCAAGTGTTGATCCACCTGCAGGTTCAATTCAGGCGTAACCGCACGTACCACCTATGCTATAGCCTACGAGAAACACCCTCGATTAGGCCACATCTGCAATTGCATGTTTTCGCATGTGACTCAGTACCTCGGTGAGAATACGTCTACCTAAGGGATGGTAACAACTCTCACAGGTGGAGGTAAGTTGTACCTCGTAGAACACTATCATATCATAGGGAGTCGATGGAAGTCTAGATGGCGCACTGGACTAAAGAGGCGAAGCTGCTTGTGTTTGTGTGACATGTGGAATCCGGCGTGACATGGCCAGGAGGATCCCCGTGTGGGACCGATGCGCTCGACAACGTCATTACACTTAGTAACTACTCACACAAAGATCAAAAGGAAAGAATCAGTGGTCAGACATAATGTAGAATTCACACTGGCAAAACAATATCTGTGTAAAAATGTTATTGGGATATTACATTCCCGTCTCTACCTTCTACGGGAAAGGCTGAATTCACAAGATGGTGTTAGTGCGAAAAGTCTCTTTACATAGCGTAATACCCGCCGTCAAATTTGATCATGAGCCTCATGACATGTCACAGCTAATGTAGGTCTAATATTTAAACACTTCATATATCATGTATGCACCAACTGAAGACGGGGAGATGACCCACGTTGTTACATCTAGTAATTGATACCTCTATGACCAAACAAAGAAAATCAGTAGTAAAAAAAAAAGAAAGAATTTACACGATAATATCGGTGTGAAAGGGTTTTTGGCATATTGGAATACCTACCTCTACCTTCCACATATAAGATGAAATTCACAAGATGGTTTCAATGTGAAAATATGACGCATCGGTGTTGACTATGCAGGGACGATCAAAATCTAGGAGGTGAAGAACTGACGCACAAGTCACCGCTTTCTTGAGGGCGCGAAAAGCATCCTCGTAGGGGGGGTTCAAAGGCCATCGCAGATTCTTCTTGAGGCCGATGAAGGTAAAAACGTAAGAGTATCTGGCGTATGCTCGGATGAAGCTACTGTAGTAATTATTAAGTTTGAGGAAAATGCGAAACTGCTTAATGGATATGAGGTGTTAGACGTCCGTCATGATCAAGGTAGCGGAGCTCTGCAACAATAAAATGTCGAAAGAAAAACAAATGTCCGATACAAACATCCTAACTAACAACATAAAATGAAATATAACATGATACAATCCTAAAGTTATGGAGACAACTGCCTCAGTGCTGAAAGGAAAAGGCAACAATAATGTCACAAGAC